TTTGCAGCGCTCCATCAACAAGGAGTTCTGTTTCGCTCTCTTAAATGGGATTCTTCCGACAAATAACCCAGGATTTTACTTCCCTTAATAAGGGTCTGCCTGTTTTTCTGGCTTTTGTTTAATTACCAAGCCTCATTTGACTAATTGATGTCATATGTTCTTTCTATTGCATTCAATCGGTACCAAGATAATCAATTACATTCAATTTACTGAATTGTGATCAAAATATATCACAAGAGTTGCAAGATCTTTACCATTTTACTTACATAATAATAATATTAATAATAATAATAATAATAATAATAATAATAATAATACTGCTGTAATATTAATTTATACATACATCTAGGGTATCTACTAAACATTGTTCATGAGATCCACCTAAAACGTGTTTTACCTTTGTGTTAAAGTATATTTAATTAACAACAAATATATAAAAATATTCTAAAAAAATTATAAAATATTTTAAAAACGATCACATTACTAGCGCAACAAGTAATTCATTGCTTTATTTGACACAATGTTTCTGTTTGTTTAATCTCAAATTAATTTAAACTTCTCTTTTTATTCTCCTCATTTATCTCCTTTCTGTATTTTAGACTTTTTATAATGCTTCACTTAAAAGTCTCTCATCATAATTTTCTTCTTGAAATATATTCAAAACCTGTTGTCTGTTCCATAAAATCACTATCTTCTATGCAGTTCCTCTTTATTCTAAATAATTCCCTGATTGGGATATTTTTAAGCCAGAGGCCATAGTGACAATTGTAAAAAAAAAAAAACCTACTTCCATTACAACTTTAGATCCCTTCCACATCCAAAAAAGATCATCAAAGATCATCATTCTGCACCCAGCACTGCAGTTCTTCCCAATATGCCATAAATAAATAAGCATAGCTGGGCGCGAACCTTGACCCCATCGCCGTTCCAAGGACCTGGAGGTAAAAAACATGATTAAAGCAAAAATAGTTGTTTCTCAAAATTGAAGATTATGCTAGCTTTAGTGTACCTATAATCTTAATTTTAGTAATGACAGGAGGCGAGTATTTTGCATTAAACTCTCTTTACTAACTCACACAGCAGTAAAGAAAAGTGAAAACATTAACCAATCAAAATGCAATAGGAAGCATAGTATTCACAGAGATAAGTCTCCTCCCCCTCTTTCTAATGCGACATCATGAATACAGGTCCAAAGAGTCCAAAGTTCCATAACAGACGCCAACGGGCGATTATCCAAAAATGAAGGTTGAGCAGGCGAAGTCGTAGTTGAGTCCGTCCTGATAATGAGCTGTAAGGCCCCGGAATTACACTGAAAGAGAACGTGAAATAGGTTAGGAACCGGTCTGGAGACTGGTTGAATTAAAGGTAACAGCCCATGATTAGATACAGGGATAACATATAACTGAAAATAATGGTAACAGAATAACAACTATAAGAAAACGATCAAGGCTATTGCCAATAAAGTGCAGAACAAGCAAACACCAACCGAGACTGAAGCATATAGAGTCAGACATACTTACGTGAGCCTTATCTCCCAAGGGAGGGATGGGCGGGAAAATACTCGCCCCCTGTCATTACTAAAATTAAGATTATAGGTACACTAAAGCTAGCATAATCTTCAATTTTACCACATGACAGGAGGCTTCATATTTTGCATTTTTAACGCTGATGAAGGAGAGATGAGGCTGCTCCCGAGTTCGGGCGGAAGTAAAATGTCCGAAAGGTAGATTCTCGCGACCAATCCGCCGAGCGTAGGATATCTGTCAGAGAAGCACCCGCCGAGAAGGCCGAAGAAGCCGCCGCTCCGCGGACGGAGTGGGCTCCGAAAGTCTCGTCCACTCCTGCCAATGATAGAATCCATCTTATCCACCTGGCGAGGGTAGTGACCGAGACTGGCACGTGTGGCCTAACATAAGATACTAACAGTTGACCCGAGGGAGAGACCCTGAGAGGGGATGTGACCTCCACATACCGACGTAGGGTAGCCACCACGCAGAGCTGTGGGTCAGACGGGAAAAACGGATAAAAGACCGACGTAGAGTCCGACTTCGTCCGACGTGAAACTCGAAATGTAACTCCCTCTGGTGAGACCGAAAAGGCGTCGAGGTCGAAAGCGCGGACGTCCAAAACCCGGCGGAACGAGATAAGGCAGAGTAGCAGCGTTAGCTTTGCCGAGAGTTGTCGTAGGGATAGTCTGCCGTTGTCCGGCCAATCCCTTAGGAATTGTAGGACGACTTCGACGTCCCATAAGCGAGAGTATTTCGGTTGAGGGGGTCTCTGCAACCGAACGCCCCTCAGGAGTCTGCAGACCATGGGGTCTTTGCCTACAGGGATTCCCATGACCGGGTCGTGCGCCGCCGAAATCGCGGAGCGGACAATGTTGAGAGAGCGATAAGAACGGCCCGCGGAAAAAAGAAAGGAAAGAAAATTCAAAATGGCCGTCACAGGGGCAGTAAAGGGATCGATGTTCCGTTCACTGCACCAAGAGGACCAGGAGGACCAGGCTGATAGGTAACATCGTCTGGTACCTGGAGCCCAAGAGTCCCATATGAGATCTCTAGCTGCCTGCGATAACTCGCTGGTTTGCCAGGCACCCCTGAAAGAGTCCAAGCCACTAGGGCGAGACGGTCTTCCAGGACGAGAGGATGGGGGTTGTCTTTCGGGTCCGTGAGGAGTGTTGGGTAGGATGGTATGAGGAGCGGATCCATGAAGGACGATGCCAGGAGGTCCGGGAACCAGGGTTGGCTCTGCCATAGGGGAGCGATGAGGAGAAGAGACCCTCGTTGGGTCTTCAGGTACTGAATCGTCCTCGCTATCATGGCGAAAGGGGGAAAGGCGTAAGCTCCTCTGGGCGGCCATGGTTGGAGGAATGCGTCCACTGCCATGCTCTCCGGGTCCGGGAGCCAGCTGAAGTAGTTGGTCGTCTGCCTGTTGTTGCGTGACGCAAACAGATCCAGGTGAAAGGGACCCCTCCTGCACGATAGACACTGGAATATCTGCGGGTCCAGTCTCCAGTCGCTGCTGTCTCGCCAGTGGCGTGAGAACCAATCTGCCGTCAGGTTCGTTTCTCCCGGGAGATACTCTGCAATGAGGGAGATGTTGCGTGGTAGGCAGAAGTCGAAGATCCCTTTCGTTATTTCCAAGAGGAGTCGGGATCGTGCACCTCCCAGGCGGTTGATGTAGCGGACCGCAGATATGTTGTCCATCCGGAGGAGGATGCAACAGTTCGACTTGTTTCCTGCTAGGCTGCGGATCGCGAACGACCCGGCCAGGAGTTCCAGACAATTTATGTGGAGGTTGAGGTCTTGGGAACTCCAGGCACTGCCTGTCGACCTGCCTTCGCAAGTTGCGCCCCAGCCCCAGAGGCTCGCGTCCGACTCCAGGACTGTGTCGGGTGAACTCCCGAAAATGGCACGGCCGTTCCATGCCTCCATGCTGTCCAACCACCAGCTGAGTTCTTGTTTGACTTCCTCCGTTACCGGGATGGTCTGATCGTAGGAAGGGTTCCGGCGAAGGAAGGACGTCTTCAGGCGTTGCATTGCTCTGTAGTGGAGCGGTCCCGGGAAACTTGCCTGGATGGAAGCGGATAGTAGACCTACAATTCGCGCCAAGGTGCGGAGTGGAATGGAGTGGCAACGGAGGACCCGGCGTAGCTCCTTCTTGATGGCTGTGATTTTTGACGTTGGCAGTCGGAGGGTGCTGGACGTGGAGTCTATCTCGAAGCCCAAGAATTGTATGGTCTGGGTTGGAGATATTGCCGACTTCTGGTGATTCACAACGAATCCTAGGGACGTCAGGAAACGGATGGTATATTGCGTGTGTAGAGTCAGTCTGTTCTTGTCTGAGCAAAACAGTAGCAGGTCGTCCAGGTAGATAATGCAACGAATGCCTTGTGTGCGAAGATGTGCAACTACCGGCTTTAGCAGCTTGGTGAAGCACCATGGGGCTGAGCTGAGGCCGAATGGAAGGCATGTGAACTGCCACGGTAGGCCGTTCCAATGAAACCTGAGGAACTGTCGGCATGAGACGTGGACGGGTACTGACAAGTACGCGTCCTTGAGGTCCAGTCTCGTGAACCAGTCCCCGTCTTGAAGGAGGTCTCTTAGAAGGTGGATGCCTTCCATTTTGAAATGTCGGTACATCACGTATGCGTTTAGCTGCCTTAGATTTATGACTGGTCTGAAATCTCCCGTTTTCTTTTTGACCAGGAAGATATTGCTGAAGAAACCCCCTCCGTTTGGAGTGGATTCGATCGCCCCTTTCGTTCGGAGGTCCTGCAGTTCGCCGTCGATGAGTCGGGGGTCCTCCGCTGAGCATCGTGTAGCGTGTGGGGAAAAATTCTGGCGCGGGATGTCCACGAAATCGATGATGTATCCTCGCACCGTCTGGTGGATCCAAGCGTCCGCGGAGATGGTGGTCCAGGTCTGAAAATATAGAGCGATACGACCAGCAGTACGTGGGGCAAAGGGGGAATTCAAAAGGCTGCTTACCTGTGGGGAAGCGTGCTCTGCCACGACCACGTGGTCCTCTGCCTCGGTCGGCTCCTCTGGTATAGGAGAAGGGTTGTCTGAAGCCGACTTCTGGGTAGAAGGGCTGAGGTCTGTGGGCACGGGGGCTTGTAGGCCAGAAGCGGCTGGCAGCACGGCCCTTATGGCGGCCAGCCCGTCCAAAAACACCCCGACTGGGGTAGCCCCTGAAGACTCGCTTCATTGAAGACTGAGCTTTATTCAGGGATGTGAATATGCTAACGTGTTTGTTTAGTTCTTTCAAGAAAGCTTCGCCAAACAACTTGCCCTGTGCCAGCGGTCCTAACTCCTTGGTGCCCAATTCCACCAGCTTACCGTCAATGCGGAGCAATGCTGCTTTACGCCTCTCAGAGGAGAGGGCAACGTTGGTGTTACCAACAAAACAGAAGCACCTGTGTGCCCATTCCCTTATATCATGAGCCCATTCTTTTACCATGCTGGTATCAAACTGGTCAGCTCGTTGAAAGGCGTCATCCGCCAAATACATGATGCGGGCAAGTGGGCCAATGGAGTCCAGCAACTTGTCCTGGACTCCGTGGAATCCTTTTTCCACGCCTCTTCGGGGGTCACGGCCGCCTCGAGACATGAACGTGGTCATGACCTGGTCGAATTCGGGTGTCTGAGCCACATGATCGGGGAGTGAAGGGCGAGGACATTCGGAGCGAAGGCGGTTGCGCACCGTCTTGTCCAGAGGTTTGCGGAGCCACCGATGCATAAATTTGGAGAGGTGGTCAGGCGGAGTCCAGTCCGCTGAGCGTGGGTGCCGTATGTTACGAGGGTCAAACAGGCGTTGTCCAGTAGGGTCGAGGATGGCCTCCCCTTCTTCCTGGGCAGATGCGAGGTCATCTGGTAGTTGGATGTCATCCAGGAACGTGCCTCTTATGAAACCGGTATGGGAACCGGTGTCCGAGCCCCACTCGTCATCATGTGAGTCGGAATCTGCCGCCTTCCACTCGTCCAGTATAGCCAAGGAGTGCGAGGGGTCTTCCCCTTCATCCGAGGAGTAACCGTGTTGAGGGGTGGGGGCAGGTCGGGTTGGCTTATGGCGTTTGGTAGGAGCCTTGCCTTTGCCCGGGACAACGGTCCCCTTTTCGCCCTTCCAGTGGCGTTTAATAGGCCGTGGGTCAGCTTGTGTCTACGATTCAGAAGCCTCAGAATCGTAGTCATGGGGTGTGGCTTTAGAGGAAGACATGGTTAGATCGGCTGATGCCGTCATGACCCTGGAAAGTGCTTTTTCCATAGATGCGGAGATGGCCTCAGAGATCATGGCCTGAAAATCTGCAGGGTTTTGGGAAGATTCCATAGTGTTTTAGGAGTAGGACCGTATAGGTAGTCTTGAGGCACAGGGTATACGTAGGGCTAGGGGTCAGGCTGTGGTGTTGTACACAGGAAATATGGTATCAGTGGTACCAATAGAACCCCAGCAGGGTATAAGTATATAATTTAACTCTGTAGGCACCCCAGCAGGGTGGACCTGTACAGGTCAGGTATGTGGTATAGGAATACCAGCTTCCCCAGCAGGGTAGATTGGGATTTTTTACTGGGCTACACCCAGGTATGTGTATGTATGAGGATGGCACAAAATCCACCTATTACCATGCTTAAAATGACAATATACACATATAGGTGGCACAAAATCCACCTGAAAGCAGCAATACTTAAAGGGCCTCACCCAGTTATATATAGGTATATGAAAAAAAGTGGCACAAAATCCACCTAATATTAGTGGACTGATAGTGGTCCACCAATGTATGGGACTGGCAGTCCTTATGGGAGGTTAGATGGGTGATGCACTAACCTGCTGACCCCTGCCTGATAGTGTGTGGCAAACGCGGTCGGGAGCCGAAAAAACGGAGACCGTGGGTCTCCCAAGATGGCGGCCGTAACTCTCGCGAGACGCGAGATCCAATATGGCCGCCGGAGGGACGGGAAAGAGGTTTCCCGCCGTGTCGGCTAGTGAGAGTGGCTGAGAAGCCGCGCGGCGGACAAATAGAGAGGAGGGTGAGCGTTACCCTCGAGGAGGAACCAACGATCCGATCTCCCATGCAGGGGGATCGGAAAATGTGGAAAAACAAAATAATAACACAGAACAAGAGGGGGAACATAAAATAAATAATAACAATAAAACAATAAATGAAGGGAATAAAACAGAAAGGTACCAATGTAAGTCCCTGAGGGTAGGGGGGGAAACCTGAGAGGGACAGTATAAGGCAGAAGGACAGAAGTCCTAGGAAAACAAATAGGGCAATAATAATATATAAAGCATCAAAATAAACCAACAGTATGAAACATGAAAAGTAAGGGAAGAGCCAAAAACTCTGACCTGTCTGCTGATGGAGCAGTAAAGAAAGAGGGGGAGGAGCCTTATCTCTGTGAATACTATGCTTCCTATTGCATTTTGATTGGTTAATGTTTTCACTTTTCTTTACTGCTGTGTGAGTTAGTAAAGAGAGTTTAATGCAAAATATGAAGCCTCCTGTCATGTGGTAAAATTAAATCCATTCCTTCCCAGGTGTATTCCTTTTGCATTGGTAACAGATCAGTATGCAACGGCATTCAATACCACTATATAGTATACTTCAACACCATGAGAAGGGAATGTAGCATCATTTCATTTTCGTGCAAGCAGGGTTTAATCCCTACTCCCACCGGAGAGACAGTGGTATCAATCAATCTGATTTTTAATGGTCCCAAACTGACAGATGAGCTGAATGCAGAAGTCTTGCTGAGGGCTCTCTTACTGTAGCCCTTTAAATCAATTTAAGTCCCTGTGGATGAACAATCCTATTTTGCCAAGGGGATGCCCCAGACAAAGGGAGACCAAGAGTCTGAAAATGCTCTGATAAGGTCTTTCTACATGCCCACTGCCAACACTGATCAGTGCTGGGCTGTGTGATCAGAATCAAAAAATTTAAAGTATAATATGTGCTTCGGAAAAAGTTGTTTAAAAATTTCTAATCAATGTGAATATTAAAAAGGCTGCTATACAATCTCCAATGTTTTTAAAACTCCATACATAAACCATAAAATCAAATAGTGTAGAGCTTCAAAATAACTCTTTAAAACCAAAGTGCTTTCTAGGGATCCAAAATGATTAATTTTGTGTTGCATAAGGTACAAAAAAAGAAAAAAAAGACCAGGTGGTCAAAGAAAGTAGGGCGCCCCCTAGTTAATTGCCATTGAAGTATGTGTAAATTAAAATATAACATTTAATAATATTCCATAAAAATAATCTGAGACAAAAATGTGGATAGGTTAGGATAACCCTGAGTGGGATATACAATTTAAATCAATAAATCCCCTCCAAACCAGCCCTTAGGAGTGGGTAAACGGGAAATACAAAAATTACAAGAAAATCCCACTTGGGTATAAATAATAGCTCCAATTGAATAGTCACTTGTAGAAATCTTATTAAACAGATAATTATATACAAATAGGTATCTCTCCTAGTTGGAGTATCTCCCTCCTGAACAACTGCTTAGAGGAATTTCCTGCAGTATAACAAAATAGTAACAATCTTGTATTATATGTGCAGGGGGAAGGATTGTGCCTATAAGGTTTACAAGGATCTATCACAGAGTAGCTAAATCGCTTGGATACAATTAGAGTCAGCGATCTACTGATACACAGTATATGTTGCCTTGTCAGCTATCAACAAATTTAAACCTCAGAGTGGAGTGGCGTAGTGCTCAGAGAAGAAAACTAGTCTCTCCCTGAACACGTGGATTACTGTCCCTATGATAGCGTCTACCCCGAATGCGCCAAACCCTCCACCCAATGCCAGGAAACAATAGTAACAAACGGACTATCTAAAAGGTCTATTGACTCGAGCGTGATCTCCTATCCAGATAGAAAACTAGCTATCTAACACGTGTTTCGGCGCTGCTACACGCGCCTTCATCCGAGACTTTGCGTCACCTACTTTCTTTTACTTTCTTTGACCACCTGGTCTTTTTTTCTTTTTTAGTCACACATTAAAGTGAGGGTTATCCCCTATCCGGGACGCCCCAGATACACACCTAACTTGTTTCCCTAGAGGTATCTAGTTTTGTTCTTTTTGCATAAGGTACATACGAATAAGTGCAAAATACAGGGATTCTTATAACCTTAAAAAGTATTGTGCAAATAAATTGATTTGAGGGATAGCATCTGTAATCGCTCTGTATGGTGTGAGATGGGAAATCCCTCTGTTAATTTCAGTACTGATGTCAGCAGTGGGAACCCCTTAGGGTTAGAATTAGTGTTGGTGTAGGGTTAGGGATGATATAGGAGTAAGGTTACTATAGGGTTAGTGTAAGGTAAAATTAGGGTAGGTTTATTTTGAGTTAGTGTAAGCATAGGGTTATGGCTGATGTAGGTTTAGCGGTAGGTCTGGCATAGGGCTAGAGTTAAGTACCAAACTTCAGATGTTGTGTGTTACATCTCTCTTGATGCTTTGCCAGCATTATGCCTGTAAGGGTCCACAACATCTGGAGTGCCGAAAGTTGCCTACCCCTGGTTTAGATATATGAAGCATATATCAATCAAGACTGTAAGAGAATTTTTCTTTAATTGCATTTGATGTGTAAAAAATATATTATAAGTAAAACTGTGAAAAAATGTGGTTTGGTTAACATATTCCCATTTTCTCATTTTATTCATACTTAATATTAAAAAAAAAAAAGATTTATTTCCTATAAAAATAATGTATAATTTGACATGCAGGACTTCGCAGCACACCTGGGGATATCCTTACACTTCCCACCAGCAGACCCCAATTCCACAGCTACAGAGGCAGCAAATCGCAGAGGGGGAATCCACACACTCCCGGCACGTCCGCAGACAAAGAGGAGACCCTCACCTTCATCCCAAGAGCAAGCCCAGCTTGAAACCTAATCCGCATCCTGCTGTGCCTGATACCTCTCCAGAGGGCCTTCAATGGTTGCCCGTCACCTACCTGCGGTCACAGACCACGGACTTTAACCACCCGGTAGTATACACACCAAACCGTTAAACCACAGTTAACTCATGTTAAGTACTGTTTGATTTGATGTTTATTTGAAAGCCCTGTTAGGCTTATCCTATGTACACTCCCCAGAGTACACCCCAATTTAAGTTATGTGTTAGCCACGAGAAGGGAACTGAAGCCCAGAGACCCAAGGGACTTAACCCTGCATTGACCCACCCAAGGCCTTAAACAGCAGTGCCGATATTATCCCCACGCGGCCAGGTTATCTTTACCAATGACCCCCCCCCCCCATAACTCTGCTTTACACCATCACCTACTCTGTAAGGTTACCTTGAGAGGGCACAGAAGACCCCCTAAAAAATGGGCGAAGATACCCTCCCCCCCCCCCGGAAAATCAGATGTCCTAGGTCCTGGTAACCCCCCAAGACGTGGACCCATGCACAACATAGGGGACAATGAAATGGCCCGGCAATCAATGCACCTTACCCCCCCACTGGACGACACCGCTAGCAACCCCGCCTGGGAAGTGCCCAGCAGCACTCAATGACCAAGGTCCTCACAGCAGACCCAAACAGAATAACCAGCCTCGGATTAGGGCCTCCAGCCACAAGCACCGACTATTCAAACGCATGGATACCCGAAACCCAGCTCCATCATCCATCTCCGCAAGCTCCAGCCCACATGACATCCCAGAAACCCCGACCTACCCCAGGGCCCTGGATGATAAACCCTGGGCATAGATACTCGCAACCCTAAGCACATCAGGGCACTCACCACAGTCACGAGGAAATAC